TCCTTTTTCTAAACGATATCGAACCAAGTCAGCGATAGTGATTAATTTCAACCCATGCTCGTCAGCAAACGCTCTACAGTCGTCACGCCGAGCCATTGAGCCATCGTCCTTGACTAATTCACAGATAACTCCCACTGGTTGCAATCCCGTTAATTTGCATAGATCTGGAAGTGTCGAATGCGGAATGCATTACGACAAAGTAGAGCGGCAGCGAGTTTGTTAGAAATGGGCCTTATTAATGGATTACGAATACATGGTTTTGGGCTCTTACCTACAGAAGCCTCAGTATGCCCAACACGACGTAATACGCCACCCTCAGTATATCGTAAAGGGAATATGTGTCCAGGTCTATTGAAGGCTTTTGGATCAGTAATCGTTGGATCAGCCAGGGATCGGGCAGTCAATGCTCTGTCATGGGCAGAGATGCCCGTCGTTGTGTCTAGTGAGAGTTATGAAGCATGTGGCTTTAATATCTCGCATTCTTTCAAACGACATTACTAGGGTCACTACTTACTATTAGCATAATCTACGGAAATGGTATAAGCCGTCTTCATTCTGTCAGAGTTATTTGACACCATTAGTGGTAATTTCAATTGATCCAACCGGTCACCCGTTGTTGGAACACAGACGAGACCACTATCGAATAAATTAGCAATGTAGGGTAAGCATACATCGTCTGTTTTATCAGACCGATGGACAAGAATTGTTTTAGACAGAGACGTACCTCGTATATCGTACCATGAATGCCATCTTTTCTGTAGTGACTTTTTCTGCTGCAATAATTAGATCTCCCTCGTTTTCTCGATCCTCATTATCAACAACCAACACAAACTTGCCCTCGGCTATTCGACAAAAAACACACAATGTGAATAAATAAATAATGGCATTCAAATGCAGTCTTCTTTGGTGATTGAACGACCATACCAAAATCTTTCAATGCATCTTCTATGGAATCAAAACATGCTAATGGCTTTCCATTTGTTGTCTTGGTAAGACCATGCCCATTTAATATAGTATGTTGTCCGTAAGAAATTATACTTTCACCAATCATTTTGAACAAAAAATTTTAAAGACTTTGCGCAATGTAGAATGTGCTGTTTATTTTTTTAGGCTATTTATAAAATTTTTTTGTGCTGACTAACCTTTTCGGCAATACATTTACTTGCCCAATTATGCCGCTGATCTTTAATAGATGATGACAAATTACTAGTGTCATGTGGACTTTTCCCGATTGGCCATCAGAATTATCGGCAAAGGTAAAATACAGAATAAGAATGAAGTACTACACGGATAGATAATCTCCAAGTGCAGTGACACCAGGCTGTATGATTGGTTGAAGAAAGTACGCCCGGCTAACCACTGAACATTCTATAAATGTGGCTGTTATTTTGGCTGTGACTTTGAATTGCATTTTTTAATTAATGCCAAAAATGTGACTAACACTCTCAACCTAATTGAAACAAAGATTCACTTGACATTATAATTATAACACATTTATATTTACCTCTATATAATGCATCAAATCCACCATGGAATCAAAGAATCATAGCACTATTAGAAGCATTTTAAAGAAAGAACAGGGTGAAAAAATTGCCCCTTATGTTTTTAAAATGAATGACACCCAAACTCTCCAGGAATATCTAGAAAAAATTACTTATGAATTTTACCAAGAAGAACGAAAAATAAAAACCATTAATATTAATATTAAACGAACATTAACCCCAACCTATGATGAACCAAGAAAAAAGCGAAAACTTGAAGCTTAAGTAAATAGTTACTCTTTTATTATCGTTGATTACCATCAATAATCGGGACAAGATTCCATGATTCTCTAATATATATATACTGTTCGATTAGAATGACAATAATAACGTTCGTTGTGCCAGCAACCATTATCGTATTAGAAACATGATAAAATTGGAGGGCGAATTACATATTATGTGTTTATTCATTTTGTATCAAAGATTGTTTGATGAAATAACACGACTCGCACTTTTTTCGTCTTAGAAAATTGAATCACAAATCTTTCCAACATATCAACATCGTAAACGATTATCCTGTAAAAAAAGGCAAACAACAAATTATTCAAAAATGCTTGCTTTCACTGTTGAATTCATTTGTGATTGTTGATCGGACTTGTCTTCGGTCCATAAAACATATAATCAACTCTGCAATATAAATCAAAAGCTTGAGATAGTCATTCAAGCAGTTGAATCAGAGAAAATCAAAGTAAAAGCCAAATCTATTAGACGGCTCAGTGAGTTACATTATTCGTTTAATATTGAAAGTTTGTGGAAAGAGTTTAAAACTCTATTCGATATAAAATCTGAGCTGGACTCGGACTTTTCGTTTAACCAAGTGGCCACGCAAATCTGCGAGTTACGCGGAGGAAAAGGTTTGCCGCCTCAACTTAAAAAGTTTCTACCAACGAAAAATAAACCCGAGGAAGAGAACACTATGGGATAAACACAAGATCAATCTTCTACGCGTGTGGTTCAGCGAATTTTAATGACTACAGTGAAACGCATGCGGGCCGTGGATGATGTCGACTCCTTTGATACTGTTTGGGAAAAGGTTGCAGGAGAAACGTGGTCAAACTGCTGTGCCTGCACAGTCCTTATTGATGAAGCACAAATTATTTACGGCAAAGCGGATTTCTTTTGGAATGATATCAAAGATCTATTGACTAGTCCAAACCCCAATATACAGTACGTGTACTTTTGTTAAGCATGTACAGTGATCGACCGGGAGTCATGAGCGATGAGGATGATGATTACATGCCTATCAACTTTCCTAATGCATGGGGGTTGGAGTGCCTACGTCTGACGCGGACAGAGTTTGACCAACTTGCGGACAAGTTTATCAACGTTGTCTACGATGACGATGATTTTAATCTCACTATTCCAAACAACGTGCGTGATGCTATTTTAATTCTACTGCTAGACATCCCCAACTTGTCAGAAAGTCTCTGGAGATTCTGAAAGATCATTTCCGGCGAAATGACTTCACGGCTTCTAGTATGCTTTACCATCTGGTCTCCCATGAATACAATCAGAATTAAGGATTTACGTGTTTTTGATGCATTGCGGAATTTGGAAATGACGAATGACAATGTTGAATTTTTGAGAAATGCCTATCATCAGATCGATTTCGACTTTTCCTATTAATTCGAACAATACTCAAACATATAATGCTGCACAGAGCTTCATGCGTTCAGGGTTGATAAAGGAGGAAATGAGTGGGAGCCGCATGCAGTTCGCTGCACCACTCATCTTGGGGAGCAAGCTATTCACTGCACACATATCACTTACGCGGTCGGCCGTTGATTTTGATGTCACTTATGCGGATGTGTTGCGTGAATCCCTGAGCCATAATGGTGGTGTGGCTGCACGCCTGATAGAGAGACAATGGCAAACAGCATGGTTAACTGCTGTGTGCCATCAAATAATTCAATCAGCCCTGATGTTGGTGCTGTATTAATAGGTTACAGTTGTGATAATCAAAATGTTATTAGCCAAATTAGTTAACTTTCAGCCACATCAGCCTCTCATTTATGTCATATAATAGAATTCTGGTTTTGTTGCATCATGCCCACGAAATTTTTTGGGAATTAGGGTAACTTTTGTTAATAGAAAAGTATATGTGGGTTTCAGAAGCATTAAAAGAGGATCCAAGAAGACCCCAAATTTCGGTTTAATCCGATTTCGTTTTAATCTGCCACAATAAATAGTAATAGTTGCGAATGGAGATAATAGATAATAGATGAACGATTGTCGCTAATGGGAAATATAGCTTTTCACAATAATAACTTGCTCCGATTTACGCTCGACTCTGTATTAGTATGCACACACTCGATGTGCGACTTTGCTTATAAGCTTGCTTAGTAATACATATGACATCACTATTTGAAATTTTATGAATTTATACAGAATTTAACATTTGGACGCTATCAAGTGAATACAGAAGCCTCATCTTCTGACTATAGATCTATTCGTCACTACATTATATATCGATTTTAATGTTACCATCTCTTTGCATTCACAATTCAAAGATGTCTACTTGAAAAGAATAGTGACGTCTCTAGTTTCACACTCAACGATAAAGCAGGCGAATTTGTTGGTATGTTCAAGCATCAAAGCCCCAACCAACAAAATGCTCAAAGATTGCATTTCACAAAAAATGATGAAGATGTGACGATAAAGAATTCTATCGCTATCATGTTATTGTGGTAGAGAAGGATCGCATTGGATTTAGTTAGAAACGTAGTAGACATTAAGGAATTATCATAACACTAATAGTTCTATTCACTTGTTTCCAGTTGGAAAAAGTAATATTTTACTTATTGAGTATTACTACGAGCACGTATTTCTGAAGCGAATGAAAATGGAGACTGAAATAGTAAAAAACGGCTCAGGTTTAAAGTTTAATTCGCAAATTATGGTTACTATATGATAAGAGTTATCTGAGTGGTACAGAAATAACATTATGATTCAATAGATTCTAATTTATTTTTCCTATTCTGGAATTTTCAATACTTAACGAATCTCCATATTAACATCATTTAGGCCACAACAATTCAAACATGTTATTTCTGCAGCAATGCATGTTGATCCTTTGAGCGATATACTAACCAGCACACCCTGTCCCATCTCCCGTCAAAACTGAAATAACCAAAACTAGCAGAAGCTCTTCATCTCCCGCGAACGATTCACTATCGTGGAATCTTGACGGGTTACTGAATAAGAATCACGTCGATATTCCAATGATATCTTGGTGTAAAAAAAGCTTTACAACGTTTAGACATTAAGTTGGTTAATATGTGATCCCGCCTTGTTATATAGCGTATTTCACTACAACAAATAGTTCCGACTATAATGTTAATATGACATGCTATCTATATTACATTCTAGGTAAGGAACGTGTTAATCACAATGAGCCATTTTTATTTTTGTAGTTTATAACGTCAAAGATACGACGACTGAAATTTCTAATTCTGTTCATTACTGTGACACCGTCTGATCATCTTGCACGCCATAGCCCATAAGTCTACTTATTTCATTCATAAGTATAGAGCCAGAAACAGAAGTGTTCAATGACTTTACATGGTTCAGCATTGGTATGCCGACGCACAAGGAATCCATGGGAAAAGTAGTATATCGCCGTCTACTATGTTTCTTGCCGACAACAAGTGCTACACGACCGCTGGCCAATAGCTTCATTCCTCTTTCGGTATCTAGCTTTTTTGTCAGATTGTCCCAAAATTGAAGCGGCGTCTTTTTATCGCTGACGTCGTCTTTAACTATGTCCTTTGGCACCATCTGCGACAACATTATGTTGAGATCGTGTTGCTTAACATATTCATTCCAATTGGGACTGAGCGTATACGCGATCGGGATAAATAACGAAGCTAATCTCGAATGCCTCATAACCTCCGAATCAAACGGATCGACCGTGCCTGGTGTCAAGCACACGCTATCCCACCCGAGTGCTTTGGCTGTCCTAATCATATTTCCAACTATGGCTGGATTCTCTATCCGATCCAGTACTAATAGCCTGTTTATTTTCTCGGGGAATTGTGTATTAGGAAAAGGAACCTCTGCGTAAACTTCCCAATTTCCAACCTTGGCGTGTTGGCCCAGAATCTGCCTCGTTCTCGCTAACTCTGTAACATAATAACGTTCAGCCGGGAATTGGTCAAGCTTATCGATTACTTGTCGAGAGTCAAACTTTATGGCATCCAGTGATTCGGCTTGCAAAGGCGCAGTAATACCGAGAGATTTGATCTGAAAACCCGCTGATATTACCCTCTGTATGCTCTGTAAACTATGGATTATTGTTGTTTTATTTAGCATTCGATGTGGCTTGTCTCGCCGCAACCGTTCGAAATTCTTGATAGTTGCTTGCTTTTCGCCTTCAAGAATTTTAAACACTGCAGGGAAAACATTTGATCTGATACTCATGTTTGCTGAAAATCGTCTTTCCTGTTATCTGAAAAATTTGTAGCGGTAATACCAGGGGCCATCAAATGTTAGGAATTGGATCATTTGTGGCACTCAAATATGTCGATCACGTCTAATCACATAAACTCAAAATGGCTGGTGTGGCTGAAAACCCAAAAGTATTTACAGCACCATTAGAAGCAATTTTAAAAAAAAGAACAGGGTGAAAAAATTGCGCCTTATATTTAAAATCAATGATACCGAACTCTTGAGGAATATCTAGATAAAGAAAAAATTACTTATAAAATTTGTCAAGAAGAACGAAAAATAAAAACCAATAAACGAGCATTAATGCCAATTTATGATGAACCGAGAAAGAAACGAAAACTAGAAGAAACGTAAGGAAAGTAAATTTAGCATAAAAGCATCCCACCAAGCTCGAGTGATCTATCAACAAAAGATTATTCCATATAGTCGATAAAGGACTGCTTGAGCGCATTCGTTGAGCCTTGATTCACATTTCATTACTTTGATACAATTGCGTCAAAATTACACAACGAAATTCAAATGCGGTTGATTGCTTTTGCAATATAAAACACCAGAGTGATTGCATGGGAGGAATACAGTCAAACCTCGTGTTATACCGATAATCTACCTATAACGATAGAAACTTCCGCTCCCAAAATTTACATACCCGTTATACCGATAAATCATAATAAACCCCGTTATAACCTTTATACAATGGCCTTTACTATTAAATCTTACCTCTCTCTACCGAGATTCGCGTAAACACTTACTAAATTTGGAAGATCCAAACATTCTAATTGGTTGATTTTTGTGAACATCGAATTTAATGCAAACTAGAGGAAGTGAGCCTTTATGAAGGCAAAGACTTGTGCACAGAAAAAAAAAATCTGTACTTTGTTTTCTCAAAAACCTACTCCGACACAAACTGCTGTTGCGTATCGATACAGAATTAAGTAAAACATTGCATTATAATTAGTTATATGAAATAAACGAGACAAGTGGTTGGCCACTAATGATATTGAGAACGTAAACTGAGATTGAAGAGACGTTGACAATATTAATATGGTTTAGCACACTTGTTAAACTTCGGAGTTTGAGAAGTAGTTTGTTGGCTTATTTCAAAAAAGCAAACGTCCATTGACAGTTTTATTCGTAATTGTTAGTTTTTCCGCGTAAACAATAAAGCTTGAAATTTTATTTAACACCCTGATAAATCGATATTTTGCATATCACTCATATATTATCGGTAAAAAAGAAAAAACCCGATTTACCGATACCCCGCTTCACCGATAAATTTTTGGTGGAACAAAAATATCGGTATAACGAGGTCAGTCCCAAGTATAACCTATTCTTTGGTCATTCTGGTGCAAATCTAAATTTCGTTATCTTCTTTACTATTACTATTATTAATATTATTATCGCTATAATCAATTTTTTCGTTTCATTTTTCCCATCTGAGTGGTTTACACTTTTTCCAATCCATCATTGAATCGCTATTCTGTTTTTTTCCGTGGAGTTGTTCTTCGAAGATAAAGTAGATACAGCAATGGCCTTTTGTTTGTTGAGCAACTTATGAATTTCAAACGCCATTTTGTTAAATAAAATTTTGCATCCAATTTAATTCTTTTGTCGTACAACTTTCGATTTCTGGCGAGTAAATTTTGTTCGCGCCGACAGTTTTGTTATGGATTGTAACTTCATCGTTTGAATTAAGCTCCCCTATTATTAAGCCGATCATTACAAAGTATGCCATTTAGCAACAGGCCGAGAACGAAGCCAATTAATACTCAAAAGGAATTCGCTCGTGAACGTAAGCATTTTTGTAGTGTTATTGGTGGAAGTTGGCAGATTTGTTTATTACTTTAAACGATGTATCCTTTCAACGATATTTATTGCGTTGTGGTTGATTCTGAAGTAAGTTAACCAGATATCCGTTTGTTCATCATACATTGCGGACAAACGCGAATTTCTGCGCATTGATTATCATTGTCACATTCTGCATACAGGGGAACAATAGTTACGTTGTGAAAAGGTCTAGAAAGTTCCTAATAATAAGTCCTTGATTAAGCATTGTATTATGTGTTACGGTCGGGAATTAAATGGGGGTTTTGGGAGAGCGATTTATCTTTTCGTGTAGGTGTGTTCGCCGACCGG